TGCTGCGGGGGCGGCTCGGGGAAGTTGTTCCCGCAGGCGCCGGTGCAGCGACCGAAACACTTAACTTCTCAGGATTTGTGACTTTGGGTGCACTGAGCCTGCGCACCCGAACTGAGCAAACTCAGAGATTTTTCTACCCAAAAACACAGTTTCTCTGAATTTGCAAGCAGCCAGCAAAGGGAGCAAGTCCTGAGCAGTTGCACCGAATGTCATGTGTGCGTGACAGAAACTGTGACGGTCACAAAAACGGAGCGGTTTCACTTTTTGCCTATACCCCGGCCCGAGCCCCTTCTTGCTCAGCCCACGTGACAATTGTGCCCCGTTCCTTCCGCGCCCGGGGGCTTGTGCAACTCCCGCCCAGCCCCCATCGCAGAGCCTGTGGCCAGGTTACCGTACTGTGTGTGGTAGAGGCGCACTCGCTCTCCTGCCAGTCTTCCGAGCGCGAGCTAGAATGAAGCGCCAGGTGTAACTCAGGCTGAGTGGAGACAGCTCGCCTGCTCCCACCGGGGAAGAGCCCTGGGGCCCATCCCCCATGCACGGCTCTTTGAGGGGGAGGGGCTTCCAGACCCCTCGTCCTCTCTCTGGGGAAGACCGACGGAGCCCCTGCAGACAGGCGCCCCCATCGAGGGATCCCGCAGACACGTGTGCGCGTCCCCTCCGGCCCCCTCCTCGCCACTGTGCTCCGATTGCTGTGCGAGTCCTTCCCCTGCCCACCGCACAGCGGCGGGGCTCCGGCAGGGAGTTCACTGGAGCCAACCAACCGAAAGAATAAACCCCACTGAGAAAGGGGATAATCGCCCGCCCCACCGGTCTGCGCTAGCCCTTCAGGGCCGGGCTGTACTCTCCTGCTCTTCCAGTCCTGGCCTTCTCACGCACCTTATCTACCCTCCACTTGTAATCTGCTCCCCTGCTGCGCTTTCAACTCACCCCTCCCCATACCCAGGCGCGCAGGGGACGCCGCTTAGTGCCCCTGGCATTACAATAGCATCTAAGCCGGGGGCCCTTGTGCTGGGGCCCTAACATCCCGACAGTTCCCTGTCCCAGCCACCCCTGCCTCACAAGGCACTTCAAGCTTCGATGGCTGGGCCTGTGCCCATCTGAGTTTCTGGTTACAGAAAAGAGGTAGCGGGCGAAGCCCAGTGCATGCCTGGTCTCACCGCCTTGCACGGGAAGCTACATTGGATTTCCCCTCTGCACAGCAAGTGGGCGCATCGGAGGGATCTGTACATGTGACTCGCTTGTGTGGGGCCTGCAAGAGGGAGGGGGAGCCCCCTGAGTCTCCTTTGTAAGGCGAGGGAGTGCGAGAGAAGGGCCAAAAATGGGCGTGGGAAGAGGAGGCGCGTAACCCCTCAGCATTAGGGCTGCACGTAGCCCTCCGCCTCTGATTTGCCGCTTGCTCGAAAGGCTGGGCCCAGCGATTACCATACGGGAATCTATAAAGGTCGGGGCAGCCAGAGTCCCTCCCTTCACCTTCCCCCTACTGCAGGCGCGTGGCTGAGAGGCAGGGCCCAGGAAAGGGCTCTCAGCCGCAGCGGGGAGTCGGCACTTGGCCGCGCCGGGGTGGCTCAGGCCGGAGCGCGAGTGTCGGGATACTGGTGGGAGTGGGGCGCGGGCCGCATCTCGCCGCCCTACTGGGCAAGGAGGCCGCGGGGGGCCGGGCATGTGGGGCTCTGCGTCCGGAGTCTCTTTGTGCTCCGGCGGGGCGAGCGAGGGGGAGGCTGCGGGGGGGGT